CGTTGCACTTTGCAGCATCTCACACAGGGGCGTTGCTAGACCTAAAGCTCTACTGGGGCACAGGCCCCCATTACTTTTTCTATCACTTTTTTCTTGAAAGCCTGCTGTGTGCAAGAACAATGGATAATTACATCTTTTCAATGATTCACAATAACAATATTTCAAGAAACCAGTCATTTCATGGCTGCAACTAAAATAAAGAGCATATTTAATCTAGAACACAGGTATTCCCCGGTTTCCCAGCCAAGTCCAAACAAGGTTGGTTCATTTTTTGAGCATTAAACTGTACTGTCTGTAATAGTACATAGTTATCTCAGCCATAGTTACTTACTGCCAACTGCACAGCAGATTTATACTGGGGCACAGATTTATACTGGGGCACAGATTTATACTGGAGCACAGATTTATACTGGGGCACAGCAGATTTATACTGGGGCACAGCAGATTTATACTGGGGCACAGCAGATTTATACTGGGGCACAGCAGCTTTATACTGGGGCACAGCAGCTTTATACTGGAGCACAGATTTATACTGGGGCACAGCAGATTTGTACTGGGGCACAGCAGATTTATACTGGGGCACAGATTTATACAGGGGCACAGCAGATTTATACAGGGGCACAGCAGATTTATACAGGGGCACAGCAGATTTATACAGGGGCACAGCAGATTTATACAGGGGCACAGCAGATTTATACAGGGGCACAGCAGATTTATACAGGGGCACAGCAGATTTATACAGGGGCACAGCAGATTTATACAGGGGCACAGCAGATTTATACAGGGGCACAGCAGATTTATACAGGGGCACAGCAGATTTATACAGGGGCACAGCAGATTTATACAGGGGCACAGCAGATTTATACAGGGGCACAGCAGATTTATACAGGGGCACAGCAGATTTATACAGGGGCACAGCAGATTTATACAGGGGCACAGCAGATTTATACAGGGGCACAGCAGATTTATACAGGGGCACAGCAGATTTATACAGGGGCACAGCAGATTTATACAGGGGCACAGCAGATTTATACAGGGGCACAGCAGATTTATACAGGGGCACAGCAGATTTATACAGGGGCACAGCAGATTTATACAGGGGCACAGCAGATTTATACAGGGGCACAGCAGATTTATACAGGGGCACAGCAGATTTATACAGGGGCACAGCAGATTTATACAGGGGCACAGCAGATTTATACAGGGGCACAGCAGATTTATACAGGGGCACAGCAGATTTATACAGGGGCACAGCAGATTTATACAGGGGCACAGCAGATTTATACAGGGGCACAGCAGATTTATACAGGGGCACAGCAGATTTATACAGGGGCACAGCAGATTTATACAGGGGCACAGCAGATTTATACAGGGGCACAGCAGATTTATACAGGGGCACAGCAGATTTATACAGGGGCACAGCAGATTTATACAGGGGCACAGCAGATTTATACAGGGGCACAGCAGATTTATACAGGGGCACAGCAGATTTATACAGGGGCACAGCAGATTTATACAGGGGCACAGCAGATTTATACAGGGGCACAGCAGATTTATACAGGGGCACAGCAGATTTATACAGGGGCACAGCAGATTTATACAGGGGCACAGCAGATTTATACAGGGGCACAGCAGATTTATACAGGGGCACAGCAGATTTATACAGGGGCACAGCAGATTTATACAGGGGCACAGCAGATTTATACAGGGGCACAGCAGATTTATACAGGGGCACAGCAGATTTATACAGGGGCACAGCAGATTTATACAGGGGCACAGCAGATTTATACAGGGGCACAGCAGATTTATACAGGGGCACAGCAGATTTATACAGGGGCACAGCAGATTTATACAGGGGCACAGCAGATTTATACAGGGGCACAGCAGATTTATACAGGGGCACAGCAGATTTATACAGGGGCACAGCAGATTTATACAGGGGCACAGCAGATTTATACAGGGGCACAGCAGATTTATACAGGGGCACAGCAGATTTATACAGGGGCACAGCAGATTTATACAGGGGCACAGCAGATTTATACAGGGGCACAGCAGATTTATACAGGGGCACAGCAGATTTATACAGGGGCACAGCAGATTTATACTGGAGCACAGATTTATAGTGGAGCACAGCAGATTTATATTGGGGCACAGCAGATTTATACTGCAGCACAGATTTATACTGGAGCACAGATTTATACAGGGGCACAGCAGATTTATACTGGGGCACAGATGTATTCTGCTGCAGCGCAGATTTATACTGGGGCACAGCAGATTTATACTGAGGCACAGCAGATTTATACTGGGGCACAGATGTATTCTGCTGCAGCGCAGATTTATACTGGGGCACAGCAGATTTATACTGAGGCACAGCAGATTTATACTGGGGCACAGATGTATTCTGCTGCAGCGCAGATTTATACTGGGGCACAGCAGATTTATACTGAGGCACAGCAGATTTATACTGGGGCACAGATGTATTCTGCTGCAGCGCAGATTTATACTGGGGCACAGCAGATTTATACTGAGGCACAGCAGATTTATACTGGGGCACAGATGTATTCTGCTGCAGCGCAGATTTATACTGGGGCACAGCAGATTTATACTGAGGCACAGCAGATTTATACTGGGGCACAGATGTATTCTGCTGCAGCGCAGATTTATACTGGGGCACAGCAGATTTATACTGAGGCACAGCAGATTTATACTGGGGCACAGATGTATTCTGCTGCAGCGCAGATTTATACTGGGGCACAGCAGATTTATACTGAGGCACAGCAGATTTATACTGGGGCACAGATGTATTCTGCTGCAGCGCAGATTTATACTGGGGCACAGCAGATTTATACTGAGGCACAGCAGATTTATACTGGGGCACAGATGTATTCTGCTGCAGCGCAGATTTATACTGGGGCACAGCAGATTTATACTGAGGCACAGCAGATTTATACTGGGGCACAGATGTATTCTGCTGCAGCGCAGATTTATACTGGGGCACAGCAGATTTATACTGAGGCACAGCAGATTTATACTGGGGCACAGATGTATTCTGCTGCAGCGCAGATTTATACTGGGGCACAGCAGATTTATACTGAGGCACAGCAGATTTATACTGGGGCACAGATGTATTCTGCTGCAGCGCAGATTTATACTGGGGCACAGCAGATTTATACTGAGGCACAGCAGATTTATACTGGGGCACAGATGTATTCTGCTGCAGCGCAGATTTATACTGGGGCACAGCAGATTTATACTGAGGCACAGCAGATTTATACTGGGGCACAGATGTATTCTGCTGCAGCGCAGATTTATACTGGGGCACAGCAGATTTATACTGAGGCACAGCAGATTTATACTGGGGCACAGATGTATTCTGCTGCAGCGCAGATTTATACTGGGGCACAGCAGATTTATACTGAGGCACAGCAGATTTATACTGGGGCACAGATGTATTCTGCTGCAGCGCAGATTTATACTGGGGCACAGCAGATTTATACTGAGGCACAGCAGATTTATACTGGGGCACAGATGTATTCTGCTGCAGCGCAGATTTATACTGGGGCACAGCAGATTTATACTGAGGCACAGCAGATTTATACTGGGGCACAGATGTATTCTGCTGCAGCGCAGATTTATACTGGGGCACAGCAGATTTATACTGAGGCACAGCAGATTTATACTGGGGCACAGATGTATTCTGCTGCAGCGCAGATTTATACTGGGGCACAGCAGATTTATACTGAGGCACAGCAGATTTATACTGGGGCACAGATGTATTCTGCTGCAGCGCAGATTTATACTGGGGCACAGCAGATTTATACTGAGGCACAGCAGATTTATACTGGGGCACAGATGTATTCTGCTGCAGCGCAGATTTATACTGGGGCACAGCAGATTTATACTGAGGCACAGCAGATTTATACTGGGGCACAGATGTATTCTGCTGCAGCGCAGATTTATACTGGGGCACAGCAGATTTATACTGAGGCACAGCAGATTTATACTGGGGCACAGATGTATTCTGCTGCAGCGCAGATTTATACTGGGGCACAGCAGATTTATACTGAGGCACAGCAGATTTATACTGGGGCACAGATGTATTCTGCTGCAGCGCAGATTTATACTGGGGCACAGCAGATTTATACTGAGGCACAGCAGATTTATACTGGGGCACAGATGTATTCTGCTGCAGCGCAGATTTATACTGGGGCACAGCAGATTTATACTGAGGCACAGCAGATTTATACTGGGGCACAGATGTATTCTGCTGCAGCGCAGATTTATACTGGGGCACAGCAGATTTATACTGAGGCACAGCAGATTTATACTGGGGCACAGATGTATTCTGCTGCAGCGCAGATTTATACTGGGGCACAGCAGATTTATACTGAGGCACAGCAGATTTATACTGGGGCACAGATGTATTCTGCTGCAGCGCAGATTTATACTGGGGCACAGCAGATTTATACTGAGGCACAGCAGATTTATACTGGGGCACAGATGTATTCTGCTGCAGCGCAGATTTATACTGGGGCACAGCAGATTTATACTGAGGCACAGCAGATTTATACTGGGGCACAGATGTATTCTGCTGCAGCGCAGATTTATACTGGGGCACAGCAGATTTATACTGAGGCACAGCAGATTTATACTGGGGCACAGATGTATTCTGCTGCAGCGCAGATTTATACTGGGGCACAGCAGATTTATACTGAGGCACAGCAGATTTATACTGGGGCACAGATGTATTCTGCTGCAGCGCAGATTTATACTGGGGCACAGCAGATTTATACTGGGGCACAGCAGATTTTAACATTGAATAAAGCCACATGATCAGTACCTGAGATTATCATTGTCATAGTTTGGATGTTGTTATTCCAGCCAAGATGTCAAATAGAAATCAAAACTGTTTCTGAAATAGAATTCGCTTGTTGCATCTGGACATCAGAAGCTCAAGGAAAATTTGATTTCTCAGTTCATGACACCTTTAATTCAACTGACCGTGTGTCATACTCGTTTGAATATCATACTCTATACTGCATTATCTAATTAATATTCATAAACCAAGCCGTAGTAGCGTTCGTTCATTAGCATCTCAGTGCCCTCTGATTGGACTGAATGAAAGCAGGCAAAAAAGACTCCGGAAACAGAATACTAGTTTGTTCAATTTGTTTTCTGTTTCAACTAAAATTCTAATTGCGTTTGTTTTTATTGTGGAATCTCGTAGCTGTCTGTCGAATATCACTGCTGAAGCTGTAGTTTTGTGACTCGTCCTGCAGGCTCTGTTGGCCGGTCCGTGGGAACAACCCTCACTCACACACACACTCACTCACTCACTCACTCACACACACACACAGAGGCGCTGCAGGTGTGGCTATGTGTATTTGTAGGAGCGCCGGGGAAGCGTGTTTTTGCCGGTGTGTGTTGTTGGTGTTGTAGGGATTTCTGCACATATGGCTAACACACTCTGCTCAGTTGTAGTTGTAGTGTATGTGAGGTGATTTAAAGTAACTCTGCGTGTGTGTGTGTGTGTGTGTGTGTGTGTGTGTGAGGAGTGTCTTTAAAGTGAGTCCAACTGCAATAGATGATGTGATTGTGTGTCCTGCTGCTGTAAATGACAACATCGTGTTTCATTTTTCTCTACAGAGCCTGTCTGGGAGAACATGAGGTGAACACACACACACACACCCCAGTGTGTCTGGTTAATTTCGCACTGCAGCTGATAAGCTGGATCCTGTCGTTCTTCAGATTAAACTGAAGGTCAAACGATTCTAGTACTGAAAGTCAGGCTGGAGGTGTTGATTTGTGTTTGTTAGTACTCACTCAGACTCACATATCATCACAGTAGTCAAGTCACCTTTATTTGTATAGTGCTTTATACAATACTGGTTGTGTCAGAGTAGCTTTACTGAGTCAAACAAGAAAATAGTTTGTCAATAATGCAAGAAGACAATAACAAAGAGTCATTTTTCCAGTTAAAGTCAGTTCATTGATGATTCAGTGATGTCATCATCCAGTTCAGCTCTCTTCCAATAGTGTCTGTGCAGTCAAGTGTCCCCAACTAAGCAAGACAAAGGAACCAAAACTCCATCAGTGACAGAATGGAGAAAAAACCTTGGGAGAAACCAGGCTCAGTCGGGGGGCCAGTTCTCCTCTGGCCAGACGAACCAGCAGGTTGATCCATGCTGCAGCAAAGTCACATTGTGCAGAGGACTCAGCTGGTTCCTGTGGTCCTGTCCCGGTGGCTGTCTAGGAGACAAGGTCTTCACTGGGGATCTGTCTCTGGGGCTCATCTAGTTGTCCTGGTCTCCGCTGACATTCAGGGCTGTAGAGGTCCTCTCTAGGTGCTGATCCACCATCTGATCTGGATACAGACTGGATCTGGTGGCTACGGTGACCTCGGAATAAAAGAGAAACAGACTAGCGTAGATGCCATTCTTCTACCGATGTAGCGAGTACATCGGGTGTTATGGGAAGTGTTCCCGGTTCCGGTTGACCTAATTAATGCAGCCTAACAATCCTTTAACGGATTTAAATATTAGAAATGTGTTAGTGTGTTATGTGTAAGCCAGGTTAAAGAGATGGGTCTTTAATCTAGATTTAAACTGACAGAGTGTGTCTGCCTCCCGAACAATGTTAGGTAG